AGAGTGAACAAAACACTGACAGCTGGATTGTCAGTAAATGGAGATTTGCATTCTTCTTGCGTGTTGTTCAGATTTCTGTATATTCTATCGCAATATCAGTGCCAAACTCATCGATTTCTAAGTTTTGTAGCCATTTTTTTGTATTTGCTATCCAATTATTCAATGCTTAGGAGCTTCCGAGTGGGTCATTGCGGGCGTCGAGGTGACCGTTCGTCAACTGGATAGCGATCAGAGTCTAGTCGGGCAGTCCGGCACTGTCCGAAGCGTTACGGTAACCTAATGGCTATTAACTATCCATATACGCGTATATTTTCATGTTTCTTACATCTGTTCTTAAGGGTTCTCTCTGCAGTGTATGGTTGCCGGATATTGGCAAAACGATCAGCATATACGCATCGAATTTGGACCCTGTCAAACCTGAGCAAGGCGACAAGGTTGGTGACAGATATTTGAGGGTCTGGATTTTTACTGATAACGTTATGTATAGATTAAAGTTATCGATGGCGACGATCGCGAGGTCGCCGGAGAGCTGCTTTCCATTGATGGTTTAGAAGGAGTGGTGAAAACTGATTCAGGCGATATCAAACTTTACAACCTGAATCATTTGTGCAAATGTGATCCATGAATTTCAGCAAATCCCTTCACCAGAAATTTTAGAAGCGCAATTTTTGGCGTGAAACTCTGCGATAAGTTTTTTGGGCATTCTTCAGCAGGACGACTTTGTGATTAAGATTTCATGTCAGATTCAAATAAATTTGCTGGAAAACTTCATGGAATCAGAAAAGGGTGACTGATGACTACGGAAAAAAGATCCTGAAGAAAATTGGTTCAGATTTTGTCAGTGTTTTAACTCACAGGTAGTGACTATAATAATGTGATTTCAATGTTTCGATCGAGATTAGGAATATTAAATGCTACTTGTAGTCAAAATAGCATAGTACATCAGAAAGATAATTTCCTTATTTCATATAGGGTATAATATAAAGTTAGGTTTTAACTACAGTTCCGCTTGTACAAGATTAAGAAAATTCATATCTCTGAAGCCGGATCAGACGCGTTGGAACTCACTAAAATAGTGCACAGTCGACAGTCCTTTAACTCATGCTCATGTACGAACAGCAGCAGATATATTATTCTCATTGAGTTAAAGCGTTTCATGATGTAGGCACGTTTCTCCTTGGTCCTTCCACCGGTGACCTCAAAAATGTTTTACTTCAACGTTACCTACCTCTCAGGGACACCCTCCAAAATTACTTTTCTATTGATTGCCAAAATCGCTGTTATATCAGTAGGTAATTTCATCTTTAAATTTCCGTTGTATTACACGATATTTTAGTGCTTCCTTGTTTGCTAGGCACATGGAAGCTCAACATATTTGGTTAGGGCGCTTTACTTTGATTTTCAGCTATGTATTGCTCATCGTTTTTGTTAAACAGAAGGAACTGTAAACTTTTTCAATGAAAAGTTTCCAAAAAATTTTGGAAACAATCACGGCTTTTACATTAAACAGCTTTGTAACAGTTGACTATGCTCTTAGGTTTTTTGCTTTCTTTATTTCTGCGTTTTTTCGTGATTATTTTTGCTTCCCAGTTCAGCGTCGACTTTAACATCTGAAATTTAGAGCTCTTTAAATCTACTTACGGTGTGTCAGG